TAAAGGAAAAAGTTTGTATAGAACCGAGCTTCTAAACAATCAAATTGAGCCTACCTCAAAAATTTTACTTGAAGAAGTTGTTTTGGTGCCCAAATATAATTTGATTATCTCAACGTCAAGATCCATGGACATGAGAAAAAATTGATTTCAAGTTTTGTAAATAGTGCATCTTACAATGCCTTTTGGACCGTCAATTTTCAAGTTTTTATAGATCTGCTCGATTTACACTAGTTTTGAAGCTTTAAATTTTATAATTAAAGATGAAATTATATTTTAAGGCTGTCACAAAAATTTCCAGTATTGAAACCACATTTATCGACATTATTTAAAGGCGGGCTTTAATTTGGTTGTTTAGAGCCTTGGTTCTATACAAACCACATCTTTTTTAAAAAAATCCATTTTCTCTATTTTTTAAAGATTATTTAACTTTTTTTTTAAGGGTAATTATTGTTATTATACCTTAATTTTAAGAAAATTGTAAAAAAAAATCCCCCAACTTCCTAAAACCTCGCCCACACATTTTTTCCCAATTTTTGGCATTTTCAGGATGAAAATACCCTTTACGGTAGTCTTTCTACCGTAATGCATTGCGGCCATTATAGTAATTAAAATACCATTATAAATAGAGATAGAATTACGGTACTTCTAGTACCGTAATAACATAAACATCTATTACAATACTTTAATTACCATAATAACATAGAGTATTAGCATTAATTAAAATATCGTAATACTTTAAAGTAGTATTACGGTGATTTAAGTTCCGTAATATTGCCCAACTCAACACGAAAGATTTGTTACTCTCTCAAGCGTACTATTTATTTACTCTCTCGACAAAAATCCACGTTAGCGGTAATTTTTCAAATCTCAAATTTTTAGGATATAATCTCTACTTAATTTTTATATGGTTCTCAAAATTTTAGAACAAATGCACGCTTAAATAGGTATTTTTGAGTGAGGGAGTAGATCCACATCGTACTCCCATGGGAACATAGATTTTTTGAAAAAAGTAGCCCTCATATTAGTTTTGGTTTGAAGCTTTTAACGTTTTACGATACTTACTTCTATTACCATAATACTTTAAAAGCTTCAAACCAAAGCTAATATCAGGGCTACCCCTTTCAAAAAACCTATGTTCCCATGGGAGCACGATGTGGATCTACTCCCTCGCTCAAAAACACATATTTAACCGTGTTTTCGTTCTAAAATTTTGAGAACCATATAAAAATTAAGTAGAGATTATATCCTAAAAATTTGATATTTGAAAAATTACCGCTAGCATGGATTTTTGTCGAGGGAGCAAATAAATAATACGCTCACGAGAGTAAAAATATTTCAATATTACGGTACTTAAATCACCATAATACTACTTTAAAGTATTACGGTATTTTAATTACTCTAATACTCTATGTTATTACGGTAATTAAAGTACCATAATAGATGTTTATGTTATTATGGTACTAGGTATTTTAATTACCGTAATACTCTATGTTATTACGGTAATTAAAGTACCATATTAGATGTTTATGTTATTACGGTACTAGAAGTACCGTAATTCTATCTCTATTTACAACGGTATTTTAATTACCGTAATGGTCGCAATGCATTACGGTAGAAAGGATATTTTCGTTCAAAATATTCTTGAAAAAAAAGTGTGGGCGAGGTTTTGGGAAGTTTGGGGTTTCTTTACGATTTTCTTGAAATTAAAGTATATTAGCAATAATTTCCCTTTTTTTAGTTTAATTTTATTTTACTTTTACTTTTTTTTTTTCTTTTCCAAATTTTTTCCTATTTTTAAATTTTTTTTATAGCCTTTTTGGCTCTCTGTAGGACTCGGCCGAGTCCTCATACACACCTAACCGTCACATTGTTTACAACTTTACATTATACTGCTGGGTTGATCCTAGCGATCTATCGAAAAATTAAGTGATAGCATTCTATACGAACGTTTCAATAAACTCTAAAATACAAATTTTCATGATTTTGCAGTTAACAAAAAAAATTAAGTGATAGCATTCTATACGAACATTTCAATAAACTCTAAAATACCAATTTTCATGATTTTGCAGTTAAGAGCTAGCAACAGGACCCAACAACCCAGCTAACCTACCCAAAAATTGTAGAAATGCAACTATTATACCCAAAACCTATAGACCCACAATTAGTATTTCACGCATTATAAAATTTACAGGCAAATAAAACCAATAAAAATAATCGTGTTTAAGAGAGAGAAATAAAAATGATGATAAAAATCACAAGAAGAAAAAACAAAACACGTGGATACGGGTATTTGGCACGGGCCCATAAACACAAAAAAAGAAACAACACCCACAAAGGCTCTCTCTCTCCGATCTCAAAGACCAAATGTTTTCATTAACAAAATTCCTTCTCCATCGATAAGAAAATTAAACATCCTTGCTGCCTCAAAGATAACTTCTTTGCTTTCATCTTCTTCTTTATAAAAAATAGGAACTTCATTAAAGATGTGGTAACCCCTGACATCCGATTCATCAAAGATTAACAATAAGCACTTCATTAAAGATGTGGTAACCCGTGACATCCGATACATCAAAGATGGGGTAACATGTGACATCCGAGAATGATGATTGCAATTGAATATTCAAAACTATACGTTCTTCATCAAACTTAGGTAGATCGACCTCCCAACTATGAGGAAATAGATAATTCTTCCAACCATGAGGCTCCCAACATTGAGGATTGGAATTGAACGAGTCAGCTCTTCTACTTTCTTTCTCAAACCTTTGATGTCTATCTTACGGTGAGGTCAAATGTTTCATTCTCAATGGATGGATTGAGCCCTGATAATCGGTCATAGACCTTGTCAATGAGCCATGAAGCCAATCAACAAATACCATGAGCTATAAGAATTGACTACGCTCTGACACCACCTAAAGATAATTCTAAAACCAATGCCTTCTACATGTTAATTTCTAAAGATCTTTCAAAATATTTCCTAGAAATAAAAATGGTTTCCTAAAATAAAAGATAGCTCCGTCCTTTTTAAGGACTTAATATATTCCTTAATCTATTCCTACGAAACAACCCAATCTCATATTTCTCAATGTAAAAATACGCACCTACCAAAAGGACCTACAAAAAATACGGTTTAACTTTCTTAAAGAATTTGGACCTTATTATTTAAAAAAACCTTCTAATAAAAATGGATTTAATCAAACTAACCAAACAATCCTATTTTTAATAATTAACTCTAATAAATAAAATAAAAAATTTTACCCAAACTCTAAAAATGAAATTAAAATTTGTAGCCACCAGATTTTGATCTGCGTTGAAGAAAACTTGATATCGAGTTTTGAAGTGTGCTAAGATCAACTTTGTATTAGTCCCGCCACCTTCTTCCATCTAAATGTTATAAACACGATCTTGGAACATGTGGGTTTCAATCCAAATATTGTAAACACGATCTTGGAACCTGTAAGTTATTGCGATGATCAAGACACAATGACGATGCATTGAAATTTTGAAATCCTCGAGAAAAAGAACGTTGTATGTGGATTTTTTAGCCACATCCACCTGCAAAAATTGCTTAAACTTCGCGTGACACGTCACGTATGCTTATGTTTCTTTGTTATACATCTCCACATGCTGCTTCTGTTTTTTTGTTATACATCTCTATAGGCTCAATTTCCTTTAGGATCAACTCAATATCTAAATTCTCCACCTTGCATGGTAAGTGCTTCTTTTGTCATACACTTAGAACTTGCTTCTCTAAAAGACCCTAAAAAAAAGGAAGCCATTAGTCTACATTAAATCCTAATAGGGATGACGTCACGTGAACTTCTTTATCCAAAAGATATGGATAACAATTGAATCTAATACTTATTAAAAAAGGATGGACTCGTTATATTTCTAAAAAAAGAAAAAGAAATAACTAAAAATATCTAAAGAAGAAATATCAACCCGTTTTTTATGCCACCTCACACAGTTTAAAATTTACCGGCAAACATTACGATAAAAATAATCATGTTTAAGAGAGAAATAAAAATTGTGAAGGTAACCATGTTTAAGAGAGAAATAAAAATTGTGAAGAAAATAAGAAGGAACAAAACATGCAGATACGAGTATTTCGGCACCGCCCATAAACACAAGGGAAGAAACAACACCAACAAAAGTATCTCTCTCTCTATTATCTCAAATATCAACTTGTTTTTATTAAGAAAATTTGCTCTCAATCGATAAGAAAATTAGATATCATTGATGCTTCATGGATAACTTCTTTCATTTCATCCTCTTCTTTATCAAAAAGATGAACTTCAATAAAGATGAGATAACCCATGACATCTAATTTAGCAAAGATGGGTAACCTGTGACATCCGAGAATGATGGTTGCAATTGAAGATCCAAAACTGCACGTTCTTTATCTTCAACTGGTTCTTCATCAAACTTAGGTAGATCAATCTCTTGACCATGAGGAAATAGGTCATTTTCCGACCATAAGGCTTCCGACACATACCGTTGGAATGGAACGGATTCTCGAAATGGCATCCGACTCATTACAGCCATCATAGTGTGTCAAAGCTAGTTTTTGCACCAGCACAGTGCTTGCGCTTCTACTTGCCTTCTCAAACCTTTGATATCTATCTTAAAGAGAGCTCAAAGGCTTCATGCTCTTCTATTTGCCTTCTCAAACCTTTGATATCTATCTCAAAGAGAGCTCTGAGGTTTCATTTTCGCTAGATGGGTTGAGTCCCGATGTCACCCATAAACCTTGTCCACTAGCCATGAAACAAAGGGACAAACATCAGGATCCACAAAAATCGACTATGATACCACCTATAGATAATTCTAAAACCAACGCCTTCTGAAGGTTAATTTTTAAAGATAAATAGCCCTATTCTTTCCTAACTAAAAATAGATTTTCTTAAAATCTTACAAAATATTTTCTATAACAAAAAAACGATTTCCTAAAATAAAAGATAACTCCGTCCTTTTTAACAACCTAATCTATTCCTATGAAACAATCCAATCTATTCCTATGAAACAACCCATTCTCTTATGTTACAATGTAAAAATACACACCTACCAAAAAAACACAAACCTACAAAAAATACGGTTTAACTTTTTTAAAGAAATTGGACCTTATTATTTTTTTAAAAAAAACCTCTAATAAAAATGGATTTAATCAAATTAACCAAAACATCCTATTTTTAATAAGTATCCCTCATAAATAAAATTAAAATTTTCTATCCAAACTCTAAAAATAAAAATAAAATTAGTAGCCACTAGATTTTGATATGATGCCCATGCAAAACAATTTCTCTATTGATAATTTGCATTCTAATGACAAACACATTCTAATGTCAAACACATCTAATCCTAAAAAAGTTTTTTGAGGGAAGAGTAAGTAAATTTTTTATGTAAATTATTTTTTATGTAAATTATTGGCCTACTTCAGGAAGTTCACATTGCATAGTTGCATACAGGATAATCCCTAACCACCATGTATGGTATCCACCGTTCCTCATCTACCTGACTAGTAATCATGTCATGCCTCACCATATGAATTTCAGGATCGGACCCGGAGTCGCTTCGGTGGTTTGCTCAGGCAGAACTGATGCACGCACGGTGGGCGATGCTAGGTGCAGCCGGGATCCTGATACCTGAGTGTCTGGAAAAACTGGGCTTCATTGATGACTACTCATGGTACACAGCGGGAGAACGTGAATACTTTGCAGACACCACGACCCTGTTCGTGGTACAAATGATCCTAATGGGTTGGGTCGAGGGGCGGAGGTGGGCTGACTTTATTAAGCCCGGGTGTGTAGACATTGAGCCAAAATACCCAACTAAGAAGAATCCTAAGCCCGACGTGGGGTACCCTGGCGGCTTGTGGTTCGACCCTTGGATGTGGGGTAGGGGATCACCTGAACCTGTGATGGTGTTGAGGACTAAGGAGATTAAGAATGGTAGACTTGCCATGCTTGCTTTCCTTGGCTTCTGGTTTCAAGCTGTATACACTGGTGCAGGGCCACTGGACAACTTAGCCGCGCACTTGGCCGATCCCGGGCACGTGAACATTTTCTCGGTATGTACATTACTTTTATTTTATGGATTACGAATTTCCCATTCCATAGTTTTCTCTTTCCTTTTTGTGAAGAAAGGCCTTAAAAGTTTTACAATTATATGGTACACCACTTGGGCATCCATGTCCATTCCCGACGACAAATGCTGGAGATTGATTATCTTTAGGTGAATACAGGGGTGCAAATGGGTCGGGTCGGGTCAGGTCGGATCGTATGAACACCCCTAAGTGAATCCTTCTCATTAGGAAATATAGAATGCTTCTCATTAGGAAGCATAGTTCATCTTTATTTACCCAAAAATAGAATATTACTCATACAGTTGTTCCGTTGCTTGTACCATTGCTTGTTGCTTTCGAGCTATAGTTTGCTATGGTTAATCTCCGTCCATCATGGAGATATGAATGCCTAACCATTTACCCATGTAAGATGCAAGAAAGTAGGGGTGTTGTTAGGCTACTTCTTCAGTATTTTTTTAATGTACTTTTGGATACTTAAAAACTTCTACTATATAATATAATAACTTTTTTGTTTAGGCATATTTTAGGTAATTAATCATGGTAAGGTAGAAATTATTGGTAGAAAAAAAAGTATTCATAATCTATAGTTGGGAACAACATCACCTACATTCGATTTCACATCATTCACACGCCTTACCAGATCATTCATATGGAGTTTTAATTGCTTTCTAAATAATTAATAGAATATAGTGTTTTATAAAATATCTATTTTATCCTGCTTGAGAAAAAAAATACCTTTGGTCGAAAAGTTTTTTTTTTATTGCAAAGGGTAATAATGCTCTGGATGAATGTTGAGTAGGTTAAGTAAATATAAAATATCCAAATAATGTTTCAAAGTTATTGTTAAGCCAAATATTATCCCTAGGGGGTATATAGTTTGTTAGTTCAATTAGATAAAGCCGTCTTTAGGACTATTTCAAGACCCAATTCTTTGGTATGTCACCTCCTCAATTTAGAGACCAATATCAAATAAATATATAGGGAAAAGAAAAGAAAATCCATACACACTCTATATGTTCCTAAAAAAAAAATAGCACTTCAAAATCCCTTAAAGGGATTGTCTACAAAAGTTCTATTTATCTTTTGTATATAGAGGTTACAATCATTCATATCTGTTAAATTTCCAAATGGGTAGTTGTAAGAGTGTAATTGAATAGACACAAAGTTTCAAAAGAAAAAAAGTTATTGGACTTTGTGACTCGCCCCAAGCTATTAATTTGATATCTAATGGGAAGAAATGATTTTGACCTCCATGTACAAAAAAATAAATGATCTCCTTGTAGACAATCCCAAAATTAAATAGAGGTATTCCAATTTTTCTCTTTGTAGCCAATCCCAAAATTAAATAGAGGCAGTTCAATTTTTTGATAATTAGTTATAAGCATTCAAGTAGCTCAAATCCAAAAGTGTTTATTTTGAAGAAATGTATATTATGAGACCATTTGCTTTTGATACAAAAAAATCACAATAACTATTGGCCATTAAATTTGAAAGTTGGTAAGGGATGCATGTTTGACCAAAAACAAACTCCAAAATACAACTTCTCGAATGCTGTGATACATTTCAAGTTGGATTTCACATCCAATAGCTATGAGTGATTATGACCTCCTTGTAGCTAAAGTAAACGGTATTATTATATACAATACCTTATTTTGAAGATACTAATCTAATGATTCTAAACTACATCTCCGACACTCCTCCTAAATAGTTTTTTTGTCTATTACAAGCTCTATTGCAAAGTATTTTCCCTTATAAGTTAAGTCGTTTCCTCATTTTGACAAAAAAATTTTGGCTTTTAGAGTGGACATACTATGTTCCCATGGGAGCAATCTGTCCATTTGCCCTCAGGTAGAAAATGTACTTGAAAAAATCTTTTGGATGTGAAAGTTTAATATCCATTGAAATATGATCAGATGACTGTTCTTAGGAGGGAAAAAATGGATTTTGAACTCCTTAACGCTTCGATCTTGCTGTCCAAAATTTGGATGACGTATATTTAACTTTGGGATGCTATTTTTTCTGGCTCATAGAGTGTGCGTTTGAATTATTTTACTTTTTTAAAAATTGTTCTCTATGTTATAGAGGATAAATACCCAGAATATGGGCTCTAATTGAAGGTACGAATTGGAAAAGTATATAATGAGACCATTTACCTTTAGTACATGGTGGTCACAATTAATCTTGACTATTGGATGTGAAGTTGGGTGGCTGCATTTATTCTATGGACAGAACTCAAAGTTCAAATTTTTTTTTTTCGAACTTTGTGATGTACCTAAACTATCTAATTTCACATTGGAAGGTTGTAAGTAATTGTAACATGTTTGTACCAACGATAAATAGTCTCACTGTATACAATCCCATAATTAGCTCCCACATGCACTTGAAATCTTTTAGCTTTTATGGCTGATGCAATGTAATAGTATTAAAAAAAGGGGTAAGACTTGTTTAAGATGCCAACTTTATACTACAAGTGAGACACCTTAAATTTAGTAGGAAGATGTAGTTCCAATGCCAAAAACCTTATGATAGCTTGAAAATACGTATTAAACCCTAATTGTGAATTTTTTTTTAAAAAAAGAGAGCAGATCAAGTAGATATATAACACTTGAAAATCTTAAAAATAGACTGTCTATATAACTTGTTACAAGATACACTATTTTTAGGACTTAAAATTCTTTTTTTTTTCTTGGTGGTTACATCTTTCTCTTGATTGTACTCTCTACATGTAATTTCTCGGGTATTAATGAATCTCGGGTGTAATAAAAATTGAAACACTACCGGACAATTATGACCTTGCGATGAACTTTGGACAGTGATGATCATAGGTGAAATCATTATTCATTTTTGCCTATATACATTGGGAAGACTTTTCCTATATATATATATATATATCAAGGTCTAGATAATTAATTAGATGGTTTTTTAAGTTTGGAGCATTTTTTTTTATTGAATTTTTGAGATGCACATTATTTCTATAGTAAGAACTTTTTGAGTTCCTAGTTGTAAAGTTTTTACTTGTGAGGCTCATTTTGAGGTGTGTTTCTACAGGCATTGTCGTCCTCTTGATGGTTGGTGCTCCCTTCTCTCTCCATGAATCTCAATTTGGAAAAAACCATTCAAAATTTTCAATTTAGCAACTCAAAATGTATCTAACATGGAAAGTAACCCCTACTCTAAATGGTAAGGTTCTTGTGCGGCTGCAGTTTCAATGCTGCCGCACCTTGAAGCCCCTCTTGGTGATAGATTTATGACTTGAAAGTGTTAGTCCTCCATGACTGTGATTGGACCAACCTCTCTCTCTAACATGGGCATCTCAGGGAAATTATAAAAACCCCAAGAATAGGCTTCTCATTCGGCTTAACCCTAAACAAATTTATTTTTTTACTTTTTACCATAAATTTAACTTTTCTAACAAATACCTCTAAATAAAAAAATTATATATTTTTTTTATGAAAATGCCCATAATACAGGACCGCCCCCATTTTATGCTTGACCGCATGCCCAATGTGCCAGATAGCCCCTATTTTGTATCAGACCGCACGCTTTTCAGAAGCCCAAAGTGCCGGACCGCCCTCGTTTTTATGCCAAACCGCATGCCAAAAGTACCGGACCGCCCCCATTTGGCGTCGGACCGCATGTTTTCTAGAAGCAAAGTGCCAAATTGCCCCCATTTTATGCTGGACCGCACACTCAAAATATCGGACCACATGCTTTCTAAAAGCAAAGTGCCAAATTGCCCCCATTTTGTGTTGGACCGTATACCCAAAATGTTGGACCGCCCCTATTTTATGCCGGACCCCCACATTTTATGCTAGACCACATGTTTTTCAAATGGCATTTTGGTCTTTATTTTACCTTTTTTATGACTTGGGGGTATTTGCTAGGAAAGTTAAATTTAGGGTAAAAAGTAAGAAAAAAAGTTTGGTTGGGGATAAGTTGCATAAGAAATCTATTTTTGAGGGTTATTTGTAATTTTCGCTATTATAGATCTCTCGATTTTTATGGACATTCAATTCATTAATCATTTTATTAGCTCCCACCTCTCTCTATCTATCTATAGCTCTCTCTATCTCTCTGAGTCAAAGAAACCTTAAATAATAAGGGATGAAGTTTTTATAGGGCCTAGGCTTTACGAAAAGAAAACAAAGCCTCATATCAAATCTTTATCCAAAAAGCACTTTTGGCATAAAAAATCTTCATGATGCCTTTAAAATTAATTTGCAACACCAATAATAAAATTTGAAACTTAAAAATTGGCACAAATCTTGAGGATCTGTGTATACTTATTTTTAGTGTGAAATTGAAGGTCTAATGATTGTTGCACTATACACTATTTTTTAAAATTTAAAATTTTAATTTTTTTGCACAATCATGATGTTCAAGTTCCAATTTAAAGGTTTTTCAACAGTTGAATTATATTTTTTTATAGTTATGAGGTGGGACTTTACTTATTTTGATAGGGCTGCTGTCCTAACAAACTATTTTTCAATAATAAGACACTTATAAACCTCCCTACTAGTAGAACAGCATGTATATATGCTGCCACGGGAGCATGTATTGTGCATCTACTCCCTCATTCAAACGACCTACTTGGAAGTATTTTATCAGTCTGAAATTTTGGAGACCGCCTGAATCACTTGATGATTAGTTTCAAAGAAAAAAAAAATTGAATTTCATGTTCTTAGATACTTATATCTCTCCTTTCAAAAATTATTTTTTAATATTCATATATTATTTATTTCTAGTACATTGAGAGCTTGGTTCAGAATCTTATGTACAGAGATTATTAGTCTATAGACTTCATACATCCCCAAAATTTGACGTCCTAAAATTACTCTAATATTGGGTTTTACCCGAGGGAATACATGGGCACTATACTCCTACACGAGTATACCATCTTTTTGGCAATAGTAGAATTCAGCAACCGTTGGATTTTAAGATAAAATGACACAAAATGTAAAAATTAAGAGAGAGGCCTGGGAAACCAATAGCATAGACCTGCATCAATGCACCTACAGTCAAATTTGAGGCTATTATGCTCTTGGCGCTTGGCAATGATAAAGTGAAAATCAAATGAAAATAACAATGAACAAAGTCAAAGACAAAGCAAAATTGGTTTTAAAAAAAAGAAGTTTATGCCCGTCTCACCTTAAGTATTTGTTGTCATCGTTTTCGCTACAAAAAGATTGTATTTTACATTCCTACCTCTTTTCACTTTTATTTTTCTCCAAAATACCCCCAATTGGAACTTTGAAGGTCTGAAGTGACAGCTGCTTCAGATTGAATTGATGATGAATTTTTTGCTAACTATGGACCTTCAACATTCACAGGAAACTTCTAATCTGATTTTAGACTGAAGATTCTAAATCAATGATTTCTTTACCTTCAGACAGTTATAAGTGGGAGTATTTTTTAAAAAGATAAAACAAAAACAAAAATTAGTGAGAATGTAAAATACAAATTTTTGGGGGAAACTATGATGACATGTATCCAGGAGGGTAGGAGGGTAGGTACGTAACTCCTCTAAACATTTGGGATCCGCTATAGAATCTTGTTTTTCTATTCTTCTCTATTAAATATCAATCGGGGGAATGCCCTAGCTAACCATTACCTATTTTTCACTAGGCCCACGTTTCTCTCAAGAAAACATAGAAGATCAATATTTACGTGGTTTGCTATTATGTGTCTACATCCATGGCGAAAGCCGATGAATAATTACACTATGTAACTCAGAAACATATAAAATGACTCTCTTGAAAAAATTTCCCCTTTAAGCCAACAACATTTTCATCACCATCATCATCGTCATCGTCAGAGCTTTTTTCCAACTATTTAGAGTTTGCTATACTAATCTTGATATGCCATTCTACCTTACCAAAGGCCATCCTCTCAACGAGGTCGTAAGCCAACAACATATTCATTTCCAAAATATATTTATAAGTTACCCAAATTTTAAGTTGGGAGGCTTCAGCTCCCTACCCACGAGGATGAAGGTAACAACCCCACCTATACGAAAGAGCGAAGAACTAGGAATGAACTTAACCTGCAAATTGTTATAGCCATAATTAATTATATGTTACATGTAAGTAATTTGTAAATTATAATAGATATATAATGTTATAATATATAATTAACAAACATAATAATATATAATAATATATAATATTAGAAAATATAATATAGAATATTATAATACAATTTTGTATTATTGTATAGGATGAAGTTTCTTTATGTTCTATATTATAATATAATTTTATATTATTGTATAGGATGAAGTTTTTTTATGAAAACAAATGAACCCTCATCTCAAATCCTCATCCGGAAAACATTTTCGGTAACAAAAATCTCCATAAATGACTCTAAAATCAATTTTTTTTAAAAAAAAAAACGAAAAAAAAAGAAGTTTATCAGATTATGAGAACAAATCTATATATCTTTCCTAAACCAAATCAATTTATCATAAGAAATCTAATATCAGAAATCCACATAATCAATAGATTTTAGTAACATTTGATAAATAATCCACAAAAAACCCACAAAAAATAATGCCAAAAACTTGAAACATTTGATCAATAAAAACCCACTAAAACATCCTCCATTTTATCTACATCAAGAGTATGAATACCCGAAAGCAAAAAACAATAACTAAAAAAATAAGGATGCTCAAACCTGGTTTGGAAGGAAAATCGAGAGAATTGATGGAAAGTTGAAAGATCCGCAGAAAATTGTGAACAATGGAGTTCAAAATGATCTTGGAGAGATGATGGATGGATTGATGTTGTTTCGTACCTTCAAGCCTGGCCAAGGTAATTGAAGCTTGAGGTGCACTCAGCCTGTTCACTCTTTCCCACCAAGCAAGTAACAAGTGCAAAGATGGTATGGGCAGTGCTCCTTTTCTTGAGAGGAGAGTGAAAGCATGTGGGTTGTGGGCGGCAAGATGGTATATCGTGTAAACGAGGGCAAAATGAAAAAGGACAGTTTCTGTTAATAAATGGAAAAAGTTTATATAAGGATGTAAGAACTACTGATGCACCTCAAAAATCTATTGGAAATGGTAATTTTATTGTTAAAAACCCTTTGATCGATCATCTCGCCATCGAGATGTATGACCATGAAAAATTAAAAGATTTTAAGTCTCAAAAATAGTGCATTTTACAACATATTATTTACACCGTCCATTTTCAAGATTTTCATATGTTTACTGATCTACTTGATTTTAGCCTATTTTTTAAATTTTAAATTTTATTAATTAGATATAAACATAGTATTTTGAGATAATCCTAAGAACATTTTACATACAAAATTATATACCATGATAAAATTTGAAGGTGCACCTTACCTCTACAGACTACGGATGCATCCGTATGCCAATTGCACCCTTAA